CAATTGCCATGGTCCAGAGAATCCACAGAAATATTTAGTTCAGGGTTCAGGGCGTAGGATAATTAAGTTCCTTAGCTTCCTTTATTCCCCCAGTTTCCATTTCATTTTCCATGGTCTTTTCCATTTGATTCTCCATTATAGTAGGTACCCCTAATTTTGGGAAATCCTAAACCCTAAACCCTAAATAGTAACTTCCATGTTCTTTTCCATTATCCCTATATAACCCCTATATAGACCTTTTAAAAAGTACCCCTATATTCATGTATGTAAGCATCCCCCTCTGTAGAGCCAGGTGGCGGTCAGCGATTGAGACCTGAGAAACTGTTAGAACAGCAGCGCAAGTAGTGCACATGAAGCAAGAACTACCCTGTGGGTAGAAGGGACATTTAGGGTTTAGGGTTTAGGGGACAGACTATAGCAGTCCTACATACTTCTGTATAATCATCCCTGCTGCCTAGTTCCCGCATGCCCACTCAGCATTAGCCCATCATGCCATCGACATATTTCACCCTTGCTCAATATAGCGGCTAAGGTGACTCCACTGGCAATTCGACGATCACCTTCAAATAGTCCTCATGTAATGTGAGCTCCTAAGTAAAGCCACCCGTAGCCCGTAGGTAGCGTAGGTTTGCTGCCCGTGTAGCTGGTAGGTAGCCTGTAGGTAGCTTGCGTCCTGCTTAGTTTTCTGCTAGTTTAGTTGAGTGTAGTTTGTGTGTTTCACTTTTGGCTCAAGACCGCACAAGCGTTAGCAGCGGCAAAAGTGTGCCGCAGGCTTTCGAGGGTTTTAGGGTCAGAGTAGCGTAGTGAACTCCTGGCTTTGCAGTTGGGGGCTGTTCTGGGAAATACCTGCCTGTTAAAGGAGGATCCAGATCTGGTGCACAGGGCTCGCTTGCGAGATAGCGAGGCCCTGGGCACGGCCGATTACCTGCATCGGGGCTCTTTGGTGCGTTTTCGCCCAGGAGCCCGATGGCGGAGTCTTCGGGCCCGATGGCCATGGATCAGTACGAGGTCAGTAACCGGCCTGGAATGACTAGGGCGCTGTCTGCTTGCATTGCCTGAGTTGGCGCAGCCAATGCGCGGCTGTTGGAGGGCGGCGACTTGCTCGACTCACCAGGCGGGCAGAGGCGGAGGTCGACAAGGGTCTAGAGGTCCTAGGGGGAGTGGGAACCCTAGATCCGTCAAGAAGGAGGTATCATCAGGACTAAGCAGGCAAACCTTAAAATAAAGGCAACCAAAACTGTGTCGGCCTGACCAAGGCGCGACCCAACGCTGATACCTGGCTGCTTGGAACGCAACTGGCCCGGCCGCGACCTCCAGCGAGAGGAGGTCATGGGGTCGGCGAACGACAATGTTACCGCCATGCAGAAAAGCTAGACAAAGGCATAACGAGATTATACGCGTGCTCGTCATTACGTTCGTCCACATGAGCGGGCGTTGGCAGGTTATCAAAGATTGCAACTGAATTAAATGAGAAGTCATTGGCGACGTTGCGGAGCAAGGCCACAACGAGAGATGTGAATTGCTTGGAGGACCGCCCTGGTTATAAGTGGTTGGTGAACTTGGTATCTGTTTAGAGGACTTACGCCACTTATGCGTAAGTGGTACCTAACTGAGTTACAGCACTTAGAATGGGAGGCATTTATTCCACTTAGCTAAGTGAGTTACGGCACATAAAATCTAACTGGGCTAAGTAGGTTTTCCTACTTAGGAGCCAATTATGGCTAAGTGGGCTAAGTAGGTTAGGGGGCCTTCCGGCTAAGTAGGCTAAGTGGGTTACGGGGTACCCCAATATACAATTATTATAGCCCCAAAACTTACACCCCAAGCCCCGTATAGAACCCTTGGCGGCGCCACATTCTGCAGCGCACGGGCGGCAGCCTGCAAGGGCGCACGCAGATCAACATAAACTCACTCATGGATTACTTTCATTTTATAATGAACCTTATATACATCATAGAGCGCACACATTCTGAATGCAAAGAAAAGGGTCTATATAGATGCCAAAGAGCCTGTCAAGGAAAACAGGAAAAGACATAATGTTTTGCAGGAATCTTGAACTGAGCCTCAGGGTATAACAGCAACTGCGTGCGAGGGCATGCAGACGTGTGTCTGCGAATTTGTCAAATGATCACTGGCCTCATGTACATTTTTTGGTGTGGAGTTGGGTACATACATGGGACATCAGCTTCAACATGGCAGAATCATCATGGAAGGGAAGCTTGAACTGCGGATTTTTTTTGAGAAATGAAGCTGGCTGGAGTGTGCGTTTTGGACGAAGTCTGGATCATGTTCGCAGTCAACACGATGCTACTTGTAGCAAGGTTTTCCATATATATATATATACTAGTTAGCAGCGCGTATAAATCTCCAAAACATGACCACAGGCACTATGGAAACAGTCTGCGCGAGTTTCCCCTGCGCAGGATTCTGCGAGAGCTGTCCTCTGCAGAATCGAAATCGTATCACATCGGCATACGCAAGGGTATGACCAAAGCAAGCTCGCCTTCCGGCTTGTGGATGCAAAGAGCTGATATGTCATTGGTGAAAACAAACACTGGCTCGTTGGAAATCCTGAACCGATTGTTGCCCGCAGGTTCCCAAGCAGAAACGCAGGTGTACTCCAGACCGGCAAAGCAAACGTGAAACCATACCTGCGCCACCTGTTGACGGCCGCCAAAGCCCAAAACAACAACGTCCTCTCGCTTGCATTCGCGCCCGTTTCCAACATAACATGTGTTGGAGAATAGCAACCCAAGGCAGGCTGGCAGCTGATAGAAGTCCATGAAGGTTCGTTGCAAGACGCTTGGTGCATCCTTGGGGGCTATGAGTCCCTTTCGGGTTTCAGCGAAGCTCTCCAGATTCTGGAGATGCTTTTCCAACTCAAGCTCGAGCACGTGTTTCTCGGATCCTGCTTGCATGTTGTCTAATAAGTTGTTCGCGTATCTCTTGAGCTCCTTGTGCCTCCTCTCGTGCACGAAGCACGAGAGGAGGCACTTGTGGCGCCGGAGAAAGTCTCCCAGGTGCAGGTTCATGTGTGCTTTTGGGAGAACCTTTCCGGCGCCATAACACGCTTTGAACAATTCCAGACGCGAGCAGATTTTGCGTTCCAGCGCGTTGGCCTCTGCATCGATGTCACCTGTGCCTGCCATCTGCAGCATATCAAGCGCTTCGCAAAGGGCGAAAAATGAATGGCAGCACAGCTGGGCATGGTTGTCTTCCAAGTTGGGCAAGGCATCTTGCAGAAAGCTTTTCATGACTGGATACGTCGCTAAGGCTTCGGAAGGCGAAGACTTGAAGTCCGTAATCTTCTTCGCAAACAGCTTCTTGGCGCTTGCAGACTTGGATCCGATGAAGCTGGGCCAGTAGCAAGCTTGAAAGAAATCGTGCCTGACTCTCTGCATAACTGGGAACGGACAAAACCAAATTAATGAAGGCATGGTGTCATGGTTTTATAAAAAAAAGACAGCTGTTTTCGGCTCACATGCGAAAGACAAATGTGTTGCAAAAAACGCACCTAGGGACACGTTCGACTGGTGAATGCCTTGCTGGTTCAAGATGCGTAGCAGCTGCGTCATTTCTACGTGAAAAACTCCCCCAACAACAAAATTGTGCATCCAGTCGAACATGGTTGTAGAGACGGGCTTCAGAAAGGGTGCCAGCTCCTGCGAAAACAGACTACCGTGCTCCATGTAGTTTATGCCCAGGGCAAACTGCCTCATCTTGAACTGGCCTTTGTTCATCAGTGGTTTTTGCTCGACAAGATGGGCTGCTGCCTGCAACATGGTCTGGTCTGTGTGCAATACAAGGTTTGCTTTGCGGGAGTCAGCGTGGCTGATGAGCTGGTTGCTCCTGTCAGTTCTGTGTAGCCCCGAGGATTTGGCCACCACATTCTGACACATGAAGCACAGTTTGGTTCCGCTGGAACCTTTGTCTTCCCAGACCTGTTTCAGCGCGGCCTCGTCCGCTATCAGCAAACCTCAAGCAACCGCGCATGATACCAAATCTATTTATATACCCAGATCGGGGCACGGAATCTCGACCCCAAAAGAAAGGTTGAAATAAGATTTCGACGCATAAGACCACACGTATACACTTCCATGCGCTGATCTGCGCATTTACTTCTGGAACCCTAATGTCCACGCAAAATAAGAATCTACACACACGAGCATGCTTGTTTGTTACTTTGGAAAGTGGGCCGCCAAAACAAGGCCGGGGCACCAAGCCTGCAACAAAGCGTCCAGGTTTGGTTGCGTGGGAAGGGCAAATGCACACCGTGCAACAAGTCATCCCGTCTGTCCACGAGGAAAATGCTCAATATTCTCCTCATAACCTGGGCCATTCCGTTCACCACTCTCTTCACGTCCACAGAACGGATAGCGGTCAGCACCCACCAGGCATCTTCTTTGGAAAGAGCCATCTTTCCGAACTGCTTTACCGAGAAATAGACTACTTGAAGCTTCCGTTCGTTCACCGGCTTCAGCTGGTTACCTGGGCTCACTTCGTCAACGTATAAACAAAGGTCCCACGGGGTGGCAGGACCACACGCATGCCTGGCTGCAACATCGCTGAGAAACTGCTGGAAGCCGCCGTCTTGCGAGCAGGATTTCCAAAGCAAAGCGACGGGGTCCACATATGTTACCTTCAGAGGCTCCCCCTCTGCCATGACAAAGCCTGTCAACTCTCGCCAAAGGGGTCCATATGGCGTTTTTTCGGACAGCTTTTCAACTCTTTTGCGCTTCACCGTCTGTCTGGAGCGCCCCTCGCCATCATCATTTGGCAGAAGGCTCAGGATTTCAGCGAGCGCCCGTTGAGAAACAAAAGACTTTCGAGGTTGTGACAGAATCTGCTTCGCCATCTGGCTGCGAGATGGACCCTGCAGCCTGCAAGAAGCGGTCGCCCTTGCAACCTGCCCTTGCCATCAAAGCATCTATATACACTGTATAACTTTAGCAGGCCAAGTGCAGCGTCCCCTTTTATGAGTGTCCATACTTGTACAAAACTGCCTATGCAAAGGATGTTCCTGACGTATCACTATCACGCACACCCACATGTATACTTTGTCGATTTGAGCCTTTGCTCTGGGACACAACAACGTGTAAGCTTATTCCAGACTGGGCAAATGGCATGTCGCGCGAAGGCATGCAGCTCAAGGACACATGCCCGACTGAGCGGCAGCAACACAAAGAGCAACCATCGTTTTACTAGTGGCTGAGCATGAGAATGCCCATTTCAGTTCTTCATTGTGATGTCTGCTGTTGTGCATGAGGAAGCTGGGTCACATGGATTGGCTCACATTTTCGTCGCTTCTGAAACGGCTCTCGAGGACGTTTCGTCAAAACCTTGCGTAGGATCACGGGCTCCATACAGGAGCCACTCACACAAAGATCCTGCTTCGAATCTGCTGGCACTTGTGCAGTTCAGGATTGCTTCTAGCACATCTATTGTAACTATTACATCTTATATGCAATATACACATGCAGCACACTGTTTGTCGTACATGTACACTCGGGGCCATAAAGTTTCATCCGGCCGCAAACTGAGCATGTATAAAGATGCTGAGTGACCAAGCTCAGGCGCTCTCATACGGACAACAGAGATTCAATGTCACAACGAAGCCTGCGCAAAAACAAAAAAACGGATCTGCAAGGTAAAACCAGATCTCGTGGTAACTTCTAAGCCCTATATAAGCAATCACCACCTATGTGAATAGATCTGTATATGTATACCCATGTACATCCGCAACTATAAGCCCCTTACAGCCAGCATCTTCCACGACGGTGAGAACGCTGCACAGGCATACGCAGACGCAGCATGCCAACCATCTGCATGGAGACATACATGGTGCACTCATACACAGCCGAGCGCAGGGATGCATCGACATCACCAACACTATAATTCTATAGAAAAGAGTCACACGCAAGCCCTATGTATAGCCCTATAGACCCTATAAATCCCAAACACTACATCAACACTATATAAGACGCCCTAAACGCTACAATAAAATGGAAGCTACGCATACATGTATATATATATATATGTATATATAACCTACGAAGCCATCCATCTGCACGCAAGCTCTGCATCCGCCAAAATGGGGACCTAGCCGGTGTACCCATATGCCCTTGCCTCATCATAGATTCGGAATCTCTTGCCATCCGGGGCGTGGTAGTAGATGTCCTTCTGGCCGATCGACTTGCCGGTCTTTCGATACCGCACATCCACGGTCCACCCTCCAGGGCCCTCGTGCTCGCCCTCCTCCTTGCCCTTGCCCTTGCCCTTGCCGTTGCTCTTCGGCTTGGCGCAGGATGGCTTTTTGAGGACATTCTTCTTGATGGGTGGCTTGGCGGCGGGCTTCTTCATGGCAGGGGCCGGGTCAGCCTCACCCTCTTCCTCAGACTCATCCTGCATGTCATCCTCCGCGTCGTCCTTGAGATCCTTGCGATTCTTGACTGCGTCCTCGACAACCTTCGCGGCTGCAAGCGGCGGCAACGCACTGACGGCTTGCTCTACAGCCAGCTCCGGGGGCTCCACGAAAAGCGATGGCTTCTTGTCAGTGACGATGTTGAGGGAAGGTTCGGGCTGGTCCTGGTCCTCGCGCACGTCCGCGGGGTTGCTAGCCTTAGCCTTCGGCCGGAGCAACTTCAAGTTCTTCAGGAGATCCGCAGGCTCATTAGAGGAGGGCGCGGCACCATGAGTCGCCACGAAGTTGCCCAAGGCCCCCATGAAGGCTTGCATCATTGCATTTGGGTCCTGGGAGCTCGACGGAAAGCAAGATGGGGCAGGCCTCTTCTTTGCAGGCATGATTGCGCCCTCTGAGTTCCTGTACTGTGTCGAGCTTTTCCGCACGACGGTGGACTGGATCATGCAAGCAGTCTCGTCCAAGGGCTTGGGCTGGTCGTCGTGTGTGTAAGCCTGCTGAAGCACACTTGGCGGGAGATCTTGTGGCCTCTCCGGAAACGGAGTTGGCAAAGCAAGCGTCTTGGGGAAGTTCTTCGTTTTTGCTTTAACCAAGCCCTTCACTTCGTCAAGAAAGGCTATCTTTGCTGGGGCTGTGTGGAGCTGGACCCCCGCAGCCATGGCCGCCATCATCACCGCCTTGTACCCACTCTCCGACGCAAGCCAGAGCTGCACCTTGACCAACCGCGACGCTACCTGGTCGGCCTTGGTGTGGATGGAGGCCGTCTCATCAGCGAGGACCGGGAGATCCTTTTCGGAGAAAAAATTGCAGAAGCTGACCACATCCTGGTTTTTGCGTCGCCTCTGGCTCGTTGCGTCAGCTTGGCCGCAAAGAGTCTGAGAGATGCACGCGGCGAAGGCTGCCCTGTCTTCGGGTTGCCACGGTCCTTTTTTCAACACTTCTCCTACTTGCGTGGCCTGCGTGGGTGTGAGGCCTACGAAGCCCTGCACGGTTCGCATGACTTGCTCGCTCTGAGATTTCTTGACCTTCTGGAACATGTCCGACTCCAAATCCGGCTGCTGTTGGGCGAGCCAGGCGCCGACGGCTGCGATGTCGGTCAGTAGCTTCTCAAAGGGCGTCGACATGACTGCGCGGCTATTGTGGTAGAAACTTGTCACACACTATATGGCTCTGGCAGCTGGAAGGCTGCGGCGACAGCAAGCGAGTGTCAACCCTGCTTGCTCTGCCTAGCGGCTGTGCCTGCTGGCAGATATATCAAGTTGCATGAAGGCAGGCTAGATTTGTTTTCAAGCATTCAGGTGCTGCTCAGCTGACTCGGAAAATTTGCCTGCCAATGAAAATCCTAGTTTTAAAATGAGACATCAGCAGCCTCACCTGTGAAGGCCAAAACTCCTGCAACTGATCCCAATATATATAGATATACACACATACATGTGGTATTAAGTGTCTACACGGTTTAGGGTTTAGGGTTTAGGGTTTAGGGTTTAGTGTTTAGGGTTTAGGGGGCAGGATACACAGGTGGACCCTAGCTCGCCTAACTCTAGTCGCTTGCCAGAAAAAAGCGGCGAAGCAAGATCATGCCGGTCTGCACCTTGTGGCGCAGCCGTCTGCGCGGCTTAACTGCATGCTTGCTGTAAGGAGGAACCCAAACGAGACCGTGCAGCTGGGTGAGGAGATTACCATCCTTGCTTGCCGTAAGGCGAAGCTGCCGTCTGCGTTCAATCAGGCCCTGATCCTCGCATTGGGCACGCAGCTTCTGGGTCAGCTTGGCTACGCTAATTTTTTCCGTTTTAGGAAAGGTAACCTCAACCATGCGCGCGCCAGACAGCAAGTGTCCAACAAAATGAACACGGTCCATGCTGGTGGTGGCATGGATCGACAGCACAAGGTGCGACAGGGGAGGCGGCTCCTTGCGAACCACCACTTGATTCCCGGAGCCATGGTACAGCCTCATCCCTGTGACCGCGTCTGCATCGACCAGCGTGAACTTCTTCAGCCGGCCCTGGTCCGTTCTGAGCCAAAGGTCCGGACGACCCTGCTCAATCCTGGTCAACTGACGCGGCGGCAGCTGCTGCCAGAACTCGTCCGCCAAAGCTTCGTAGTCGAAGTCTTCAACACTCACCATGAAGAAGTCTGCGGAATGGATCTGCAGGTACTCTGCCATGATGCTGCAGCACTGTGTGTGCACACAGACCAAGAAACCGAACTAGGATTTGGGCAGGAAAGCTTACGCGAGCGGCGAGCATGCAATCAGGCATGCCCTGCCAGCTGCAGGCAGACCTCCTTCCAGAGCAGAACATAACTTAAGTCTTGTGTGCCAGCACACACATGTGTATATGTATACTTACACACATACGTCATGTACAAAGAACACGAGAACCACAAAGGCCTATACCGCACGTGTTTTAGAACTGCGCATGCAGGGCTTTGCTCGCGCGCGCGTGCGCAGGGCCCAGCCTGAGGTACTAGGCTGCGTGCTCGCGCAATGTTTTTGCCGGACGGAGCTCCTGCGTAGCTGAACTGCTTCCGTTTCTGTGCGCAAGTGGGGCGCATGTGTGAAAATGCTTCATACACGGGTCGCGCTGCAGTCCGTGCAAGTCGATGGAATTACGATGGGGGACTTCTGACTTGCAAAGGATTTATATGTCTGGTAGAGCATGGGTAAGAGCTCAGGCTCGAAAACTACAGGCTTCATGGAAATTACGTACATTGACATGTGCTTGCGCAAACGCGAGCACCCCCCGTGCCGGTTGTGACAGAATCTGCTTCGCTATCTGGCTGCGAGATGGACCCTGCAGCCTGCAAGAGGCGGTCGCCCTTGCAACCTGCCCTTGCCATCAAAGCATCTATACACTGTGTAACCTTAGCAGGCCAAGTGCAGCGCCCCCTTTTATGAGTGTCCAGGCTTGTACAAAACTGCCTATGCAAAGGATGTTCCTGACGTATCACTATCACGCACACCTAGCCCATTTCCCAGGCCCGGATGCAATCAAAACAACCCCAGATGCCACCACATTTTCTTTTCAAAGGAAAACCAAGTGACAACTTTTCGCACTTCCAACATTTTGCTTTCGTCTTTTCGGGCTGTAGGTGGCTGTGTGGAGAAAAGAAGCTGCGCGCGCAAACGCACAACGACTTTGCGCGGCGCGCACTACTTAAAAAATGGGTGAGAACAAATCCTCGAGCCGCACGGCGCCAGGACGCTTCTTTTGCGTCACTCTGTGTTGCGGGAACCATGTGGCCGGCTGGTCGGCAAACCACAAAAGGCAGTCTGAGTCCGTGATCTCCCTGCCTGGCTCCTTGCCGAAAAGCTTCAGAGCTGTGTTCGGGCCTCGAATATTCATCCCATCCATGAGGCTCCTGCGGAGCTCATAAACGGAGATGTCGCCGAGCGCCGGTATGTCGACGGTCGCGGCAACCTCTCCGGTGGTCATGTACGTAGCCTGGAACCTGAAGGGGCTTCCCTATATAGACAGAATATGTATATAGGCAAGAAATTGAGAAAACATCCCTTTCTACATTCGTTGTGGCAACAGCTGCGCCTGACAACATCGACTACATCCAGGTAGGAGGCCCGCACGTTCAAGAGAACGGTGTTCCGGGGAACTGGACGAACAAGCAAGGAGCGCTCGCCGCACCGATAAAGGCGCATTCCGTGCGGGTCCTTGGACACCAGCTCGAACCATTCCATCCCCATGGTAAGCGTGAAGTCCATGCCCAGCTGCAGCTGTGTTGTCCACACCTGGTTCGTCACTTCCCGCCATTCCTGCGGAACCAGGCTTACGCCGTCACCGCTGGGAACTGGGTCCAGCATCATCTCGAACGCCATGCCGCGTACAAAGGAAGGATGTATGAATCTACAGATATATATACAAAAACTCACGCAGCCTCGGAAGTCTGCGGCGCACGTATAAAGGGGTCTTTGCGTGGGCGAGAGAAATCCCTGCCCACTGCGCTCGGCGGCCAGGCCTGCCGGCGTTGGGGGTCATGAGCTGCTGCTGCGCGCCGAATCAACACCAAAACTCCGTACAGTCTACATGTATGCCTGAACGCACAGTGACAGGTATTCAGTGCTGGAGTGCTGATGTTCGTTGGCATGATGTCTTATCTTTCCCTGCCGGCGCAACCACGAAAGGGAAAGTTTATATTGGAACTGTGGGAAATCATCATTATATACTCAGTGTTATCGTACAACTTTTGGGGAGAAATTTATATTTGGGCTTTGCTACTTGCGCGGCCATTGCCCACTAGTATAGTATAGATTTGGGATCAACAGCCCTTCCCCCCTCACACACGGGACCTGCCGCCTTCGACCCTCTCATGTTGGCCAAGGCGCATGAGAAACACATGAAACCTTGAGCTCTAAACCCAACACTCCATCACCAGGCGCTCGCAAACTCACACTCCCCACTGCGCGAAATTAACACAACGCACAGTTTGCAGACAAGCCACCACACTTCTTGCACCACATGACATTGCCCTATGCTAATATCTAACCGTAACAGGGTACCCCAAGACTCTCTTCCACGTAAAGCCCCAAGCGAAACAAGCACTGTTTTTTAAAACGGAAAAATGTCTGCGAGGCACTCTTTTAGAGACGCCTCTTCTTCAGGCACTGACGGCCGAGGAAAATGGCGGGCCGCCGTTTGGCGAACCCGCCCCACAAGCGTACACCCCTGCGCAGCCACCACTTGTTCCTGACGAACCAATGGGACTTCCCATTAATCTTCCTGCCATCTCGTGATCCCAGCAGCACTATCACGTCCCTTGGGGACAGATATCCGCAGGCCTCGAGGGCCTCATAAGCGCAGCGCATCAGGTTATGGAATCTCATGTCGAGGCACTGCGTGAAGTACAGCTCCACAGTTGGTTCACCGGTGACCGCATGGTCGAGCTGGATCCTGCATCAAGCTCATATCCAGGTTTCATACGCCTAGACTATTATCACCGACCCGAAGCCTAAAACCCTGAAACTTCTAAGTCCTCAACGCGGCGTCTCGCTTGAACTGCGCATATGCCACGAGCACGAGGCACCTTTCTGGCTCCGGTGTGCGAGGCGCCTGCATTCTTCGTCTGCGATTCTGAGAATCTGCTGACTGTAGCCGCGAGGGATGCCTCTGCGACTCGATCAGGAATCCAAATAGCTGCGGCACGCTGGCATCATGTGTTCACGTATGGCGCTCTCATCCAACATGCACATGTCCATGCAGCCGGAAGCAAGGCACTGAACACGTTAACTGAAGCTGTTTGTTCGGTAGCAACGCTGTCGGTGTTTGTGTTTATTATCGTGGACTGGCTGCACCCGACACTGCTCCACGAACAGAATGCGCACCCGACACCCCGCCCCCGAACCCCCAATGTGGAACAACATTGGGGGTCATGGTCTCAATGTTGCGCCACATTTCGGCGCGAAGGCTACTATGAATGTGCGTTCGTCTCTAATTGTTTTTTTCCATTGCTGGTTCTTTGTTACTCCAATTTGTTTCTAATTTTTTTGTTTGTTGATCCGGATTTTTTTGAACAAATCTGTTTTATTTTTTTTGCCGCCAATGTTGTTCAACATTGGGGGGCACCCCCGCAATGTTGCGCAACATTGGGGCGCATGTTACCAATGTTGAAAAACAAACGGGATGCCCGCCCCCCACGCCGCCAATGTTAAACAACATTGGGGCGCCTCCCCCCAATGTTGCGCAACATTGGTTTCGTTTTTTTTTTTATATTTTTGATTTTCTTCGAAAGATTTGTCTGCTTTGGTTTTTCGCTTCCCTTTCCACCTGCTGACCTTCCTGCTGCCTGAATGAACAACACTTTCAGTTGTGGAGACGCAATGCTTTCCACACACACATGACTGCATGACTGAAGCTTCTCTACCAGCGCATGCGCACATCCACTGCTGCCTGCTACCACATCCACTTGCTCATGCGCCGGCATCACACCACAGAATGCGTTGCTATGTGCCCCAAAATCATTGCAACCTCTAACTTCGGGAAGCATACACCGGACATCTATATCAAGTACATAAATGCGAATGCCATGTACATGTTCCAATGACTTTGGTGCACATAGCTCACTCGGTCGATCCCTTTTTTTGCTGGAATCCTCACAGCTTTAAAACACTAAGTCTCCGGAGAGAGGCCTGGGGGCCGACGAAGCATGTCAACGCAACACGTGTAGATGCAGACTACACACCACGCATGCGTGTTTGGAGTAGTTTTTATGTACCGTTACACAACATGTCGGGCCCCCCCTGTGCACCTCCTCCGCGTGGCCGACCAGCCCTGCCCTACAACTCGTATTGGCTGTCCACACCATTGCTTTACCCTGCACTGAACAAGGTTATGTCCGCACACAAAACATCCCCATGGTCGGGCCGTCGGCTTGCGCGGCAAGCAGCTCACATTCTGCCGGATTACAGGGGGTTTCATGAGGAGACATTTTGGGCGCCGTGCATTGCAAGTGCCTGTATAGAACTGCTGCCCCATCCCACATTAAAACCTTCAAGGACAACAAGCTTATAAGGTCCTAAGACGATTATACATACCGGGCAAGTGGCACAGCAACCCTCAGATAGGAAATCCCAATTTCACGCCAGTGCGCGCTGGCAGCCAAGCATGCAATGTTGGAATGGCTACTCGAACCTTTGTGTATGTTGGGTTATGCGCTGCTCAGCACTGCCTCTGGCGGGAGCCTTGCATTGAGAACGGAGTCGTGCATTGCGGATGACTAACATGCAAATGTATACTGACATCACTATGTGAGTTGCAGCTGGAAACGATTTTGAAAACTGAGCACACGCAACCTTGAAACAACAAGCACACGTGTACAACAATCACCCAATGTGTTTGTGGAGGATGTTAGTCATCTGAGCCATTGCTCCTACAGCCTGCCTAAGGGTGTCCCGCTCTTCGCGGCCCCTTCTGCGCGACTGCTCTTTCTTCCCACCACGAATGCGCATCTTCTGGCGCCCGCCGCCGGGCCTTTGCTCGCAATGCTCACAATGTGGAAAACGTTTTGAATGGACTAGCGTGCACATCCAACCATATGGTATATGTGATGGCCCCACACAAAGTACTTAGAAGCCAGATCATGCAAGGGACGGATGCCACGTTCCGGCAGCATCCACCCAGCCACCACCGTTGGGAAGATAGAAGGAGCCCCCATGCTGATCGCTCGAGGAACCGCGAGAGCTGGAAGCTGACCTTGTAGGTTGAGAGGTGTTTGTCGGGAACACAAAGCATTATGAAGTACCTGGGGGAATGTTTTAAGGTCTATATTCAGATTAGCGTACTGTAGTTGAAAACACGACAATGATTCAAATTCACACCGCCGCGCCAACGCCCATCCTCGGTCTTGACCCTCTTGTCGGACCCCTGGTTCCACTCGTCCGTCTTGACATTCTTGCTCGGGCCCTCGTGCCACCCCTGGTCCCACTCATCCTTGCAGCGGCGTCCGTCGCCACCATCACCATGCTTCCAGTACCAAGACCCGCTCCAGGACCAGTCCTGCACAGATCCCGAATCCCTGTATAACCCCTATATGAAACATACTTGTAGCATTTGTAGAGCTGGCCCCACCCCAAAAAATAAACGTCACTCAATGCCCAATGCCCATAAACAAAGAAGGCGTGCCCTAAAATCTGGAAGTTTTCTTCATACTATTTATAAGTGCCTATATATATAGGAATACACCCCAAGTCAGTCCTCCTCCTCTACCTTGACCTCCTCCATCTCCTCCTCCTCTTTTACTCCGTTCTCAGTCCAAGAATGATCTGTGCCGCCCCACTCATCCTGACCCCATGCGCAGCAGTCGCTTACGCCATACTGGGGCTGGGATGACTCATCATCGCCCTCCTGCTTGACTGATGACTCCATGACACGAGCCTCGCAAGCCTAAATCAAATGTCTGCAAGTGGTCTCTGCTGCGCACATGTGCCTGCAATGAAAAGTCTGTCTGTGTGTTGAGGGTGTGTGCACCTGCAGTCTGTGCCTACTCACGAATGGCATCACCCTACTGCAAGTGCTGGCACCAAACATCGGCATGAACACAAAGCAACATTTGACACACTGCATGCACTGCATGGACTTCTTATAGGTAAGGGGGACCCGTGTGTATCTATATGTATATATATATATATACATTTACATATATATATAATCTATAGATAAAACACTGGGGGAGCTCATGTACGTGTAAACTGCCAAGCCACAAACATGCTTTGCTCATGCTTCTCACTCATGCCCAAATGAAACGTGTGCTCACGATGCCTGGCTTTTCCTGACAGACTCAAACTTCTCCCTAACGCAACCATGCCTCCAGCACAGTTTTCCGGAAAAGAAGAATCCTGATTTACAACAACCCGTGGAAGTCTAACTTCTTGGCCGAAAACTTTGATTTTCTGGGATGCAATCTTTCTCCTTAGCCCACATTACCCTATATAGGAAGAAAAGATAGCTTTTTATACAAATATATAAGGAATGCTATACCCCATGCACAAACTGTAAAGGATTATAACATTGATCTAGTCTCTGGATCACATGGTTTCGTGCTCTTCATCACATTCTGCACTGGCAACAGGAGGGGGGGGAAGGGGAGCCGGCTCATGCTCTTCTGGGTTCGCGTTCATCCTGCGGCGTGAGCTGCGAGACTTCTTCTTCTTGGGGGACTTCGCGTGCTTGTCGCCGAGCGCGTTCTGCAGCTTCTTGCGGCGGCGCCGCTGAGGCTCTGAGCCCGTGTGGTCCTGGAGGCCCTTCTTCAAACACACCCGGAGATAGTCCATGTTGGCCTCCGTCAGCTCCACCCACATCTCCGGCACTGAGATCGACCAGAGGGCCCGCATCTCGATGGCATCCGCCGTGTCCCCCTCGAACTCGACAGCAGGCAACCTCATGGTCACCACGCGGCCTGTTAAGTAACAGTCCGCCTCCCGGGGCTGCCGGGCCTGGGGTTCGGGGTCTCCGGCGGCCGCAGCCGCCTCCCGCACTGTTGCTTGGTAAAGTTCCGCGCAGGCGTCCTTGCGCGCATCCAAAAGCTTGCCGAAGGCAGGGATGGAGAGGCGGTGGGCCTCGCGACCCGCTTGCAGTTGCAAGGCCTTGCCAGTCACGAACGAGACAAAGGGTCGATTCCACTTATCGATCTTCACAAAGGTGTTCCCGTCCACTTCCTTTGTTTCGGCCACCCAAGTCTGTTTCCTCTTCAGGTCGCCGCCAGTGATCTGCCACACCTGCTGAATGCGCGCGCGCTGCGCAGCCATGTTCTCCAGCAAGTCTGGCGTTCGAGCAAGGTCAGTGCTAGATCTTTGCAGCTCACAAGAGCCGGTACGCTTGGGCGAGTATATGCAACCCTGCCCAGCCTTGAAGCGAGACGCGCTCTGCTCCAAAATAACATGCTGCGACATATGAAAACATGCGTGGGGAGTTCTGCAACATTTTTCTCTTGATTGGCGGTGCAGGCGCCGTACGCGGACAGCCCGACTTAAAATCAGGTTTGCTGGTCATGCCTCCTGCATCCTCCAGCGCAGCTGTGCCTCCAGCACGGCTCTGCATGGCTACGTGGCATTTAAACGCCTCTCGAAGCTGGTCGGTCACGCTTCAACTTCTCGGGCAAGAGCTTCTGTTGAGCTGTTTGGGTAAGAACATTGCTTTTGCATGGGGTCTATGTATGCAAGATGGATGATACTTGTTGGGGATTCAAATTTCAAATCAAGCTGATCTCAGCTTCTTGGCCAAAGGCTCCGGCACCAACGCCTCTGGCTCAGGCTTGGGAGGGACAGGCCTGAACAAGACTAGCTGGTCGCCATCGTTGAGGACAGTCTTGTTTTTGGCAACTGGCATTTTCCAGGCACCGTCGATCTTGATCCGCCGCTGGGCGTGGCCCTTTGGAGCGATTTCGAGATTTGCCTCCTTCTCATCGCTGCTTGTCTTCATGGTCCAAAAAGGGTGCACGAACAGAGGCCGATGATTGGCGTCCACTTCGGCCTTGGACGGCGCAGAGTGAAACGGCAGGATCCACGCTCTGTAATTCTTGCCCAAAAGATCGAGGACACCGACGCAGATGGCAAAGCTGTTGGAGGGGGTTTCCTGCTCAGGCCGGATGTCAAACTTGCAGCTCAGGGGGGCGATCACGAGCTGGCCTGGCGCATGCTTCTTGCGAACGACCACATCCTTCTGTGGCTTCAAGTAGATGCCCAGGGACTCTTCCGCAGCGGGGTACTGACCCTCGGTCTCAGTGATCCTCCGGAGGAGTTCTGCTCGCCACTGCGCGAACAAAAACTCTAAGTTTGAAGGCGGGAGGAACTGCGTCCAACCCTGCAGCTCTACAGCATCAGGCTTGTTCTTGGCCGTGCGCCAGGCACCTTGCAAGAAACTTTCGGCCGACACTGAGGCACCCAGAGATTCCAAAAGCCC